ATTTATATGACTTTCCAAAAAATTCATTTTCAAAAACTTGTGTGAAAGAGAAAGGATAATTTAATAATTTCACTTACAAAAAATTTTGAAAAAAAAAAGTTGAGGTATGAAGAGAAAAGGTTCGAATGCATTTAGCAACACTTATCTTTTAATTGTTTGAGTTTAAATCTGTTAAAAATTATAAAAAAATAATTTTTTTTATAAATTTATTAGTCCTTACATAAATAATTTTATTTAAATATGCTAGAGAAGGGAATGTGCTAAATAAAATCCATAAACCATTTATTATTAAAAAATATATAACGAGATTAATAATGGTTGCATACATACATTTAAATTTCAAACAAAGTTATTTCAAATTTCAATGTCTTTTTTTAATTTATAATTGTAAAAAAAAGTAAAAATAAAAGTATAAAATTTTCTATTTTTTTTAAAAAATTGAATGGTCCTATGGTGAATGATAGACTTGTTCATAGGTTGGACGGTTCATCTGAACCTGAAAATTCGTTAGAAATTTTAAAGGGCTTGGACATGAATATTAAACTCATTAAATGAGTTTGAACAAATAAATGAATTTTGATAAAAAAATAAGGCTGGGTTTAGGTTTCACCATTTAAGGTCCGGACTCTTTTTGAAAATTAAAAAAATATTTTTTATCATAATTGGATAAAACCAATTTGATTTATTTATTTATTTTTATAATAAGTAAGGCTCATTTGTTTTATTACTTATAATATGATAAACTTTTTTTTATACAAAATAATGATCTAATTTTAAATTACATTCAATAAAATTAAATTGAATCCAAACCCAAATGACTCATAAATTTAATTAAAATTAATTTAATTAATTAAATTAATAACTTATAAAAAAATAAAAAAATTTTTTTTTCTAATTTTAAATACTAGTGCTTTAGATGAGTTTGAATTTTATTATTATATGTAAGAAAGAGCTCGAGCAAAAAATAAAACTCGAAAAATTAGGTTGAACCTGGACTTATTTAAAACATTTGAATATCATGTTAGACCTACCCTGAACTTAACTTGGCTCAGTCTATGAGTAGCTCTAGTGAGTGGCATAAGGGAGGACTTAATTGCCCAAAAATTAAATTTACTTATGGCATTAGTTAAATCATATAAGTTAGAGAGCAATTTCAAAAATCAAACAGTTAAAAAAGGACGATGTTCAGATTTTAATTTTTAAAATAAAAAATGAGGAATGAATGTTTTTCATTCCAAAAACCAAAACCTTATAAAACATACAAATATGAACACAAATATCTAGGGATGTAAATGCCATTGGCGCAATAAAATTTATTTATTTTTACAAATACAATAAATTTTGATGAAATGGTTTTTTAATGGGTCAAAAAAAAAAATGCTAGGACATTGGTGGGCTTGGGGAGTGGAATTTGTAGTGTTGTTGACACCATCTCCATGCGAAAGGCTATAAATAAGCACATCACCAATGCTTTGAAACTTGAAACTGCTATGCGGTATTTAATAGTCTCACAATTGTTAAATCCTATGGGAAATGCAAAAGATTTTGAAAGACGGAAAATCAAATGGGAATTTCCATTAGAAAATTGTCCTCTTGCGTTTGGACATGACCAAAGATAGCAACGTCTTAGGTTTTCCCCTCCTTTTGTCTGTTTATAATAATGTCAACAAAGAATCCATGCGCATGGACTTTTTGAAACTTCACCCTTGTACGTCAGAACACGAGTTTTCTTAATATGTCTTCACAGTAAACAACTGATGATGATGACGACGATGATGATGATGACGGAGACTAGCCATTGCAGCATAAGTTCATATAAAATGACAATGAAAGATTGGGGCAGGAGGCGAAACATATCCTATCTAAGTCAAGAATTCATAAGGGAACTAAGTCTGATTAATAAGATAAGAAATTATTTACATTCAAAGTAAAAAAACCATGTTTGTAAAACAACAATTTTTAGATAGATGACTGCCAAGGAAGTAGAACATACAACGGCTGCACAGCCATTCTTGACAAAAAATGAGTTCTTAAACCAATTTAGACAGAAAAATTACAAGGAGTCAACGTGAAACAAAGAAAAAATAACAATTTCTTTGGTAGCAAATAGCATGTAAACAAACAAGACAGAGAGAAATAACTCAACTAGAAAGGTATGGCATAACTAAATGTGGAAATCAATTAAGGTGCCTCATACTCTTTCGAGTAAGACAACTTTGATATACTTTGATAGGGATGTTCCAATTAACAGTACCAGATAGCTTGTTCTTTGACTTTGAGCTCTTTACAGAAGTAGAAGATAGCTTCCTCATTCTAATTTTGCCAATATAAAAGTATATTTCATAGAAGTTACGTTTCATGTTAAAAGTGTTCTACAGAATATTCAAATTATCTACACAATTTATTCACAGATTACGACACAAAATCATTGCAAATAACCCTACTGTCATCTCTTGGTGCTGTACAACCATACCTGATTATCTTTAGTTTGATGCAGCCTGAACCAGCTTTGCAGAATGATCTTTGTAAACCACTAAACATGTTTGCTGGGACAGCTACATCAACAATTTTGGATATAGAAGATTTAAATCTGTAAAATATACGGAGTTACCGATCAGATGGTAGCTGTACAACACAAAAAAGCAGTAGAAAATAAAATAAAGATTTACTTACTTTCCATGATTTTTTCAAATGTTTCCTACGCAGCAGTTGGAAATTGAAAGATAAGCATAAATGATTTTATCCATAATTAAAAAGAAAAAACAATTCAGATGCCCAATAAGATGGAAACACAAGAATTACCCAATTGCAAAACAAAAATAAGTGAAATAAGTAAATGAGCCCAATTCTATAAATACCAACCAGGAGCTTTGTCCTGTAGAGAAAGTTTGGTTGTCCAGAGTCCATTGGACATTATGTAACAGACAAGAAAATCTCAAAATTTAAGAAATGTAAGCATACACACCCCCAAAGATTATAGTTCTTTAAACCAATCATATATCATACGTACATTTCTTAAATAGAAGTATCATAATGAATGTATTTATTTTATTATGCTGATAAAGCGAGCCAGTCTCATCAAAGAAAAAAAGTTCTACATTGTTTTTTATCAGAAGGATTATTTTGTGGGAGCAGTGGCAAATATTGGACAGTTCAAGAAAAAGGAAAAAAATAATCTGGAGCTGTGAAGGTTGTTGCCACAATGTAATTATATCTAAGAGGTATTCTGATGAAGTGGAATGACTTAACAGAAAGGTAAAACCTTCCAATTGCTGGTCAAAGCAAAGTGCTGAGATTACTTGAGTTCTTCAAGCTTGAGCTACTGCTATCACAAAAGCAGCATTTTTGGTGCTCTTCATCTTCTTTTGCTGCCTACATGCGCACAGATTATTTTGTCTCCTTTTATTTTTTATTTCCTTTTCCAAATGTCATTATGGAAGTTATCCCAAGAAATCTAGAAAATTTGTTTCTGTTTGGTTGAGTTCAATGGAGGACACGCTCATTAGCTTCATATGACATTTGACCGGTGGCACACACTTCTCCGTTGACATGTCAATCACAAACATTTACTGGTAAAATCTAAAACTCAGGAGAAAACGTAATTAAAAGCAGAAAGGAATATGGCATGTGCCGTGTAGGGCCACAAGAATCACCTCATCCTTTGCGTGTCTGGGATTATAGAGCTTCTCCTCTCCCACAGTACTAACCTGGATGTCACAATATCTGACATAAGTAACCATTTCAATTAAAAAGATAGTCTAACAAAAAGAACTAAGAGCGGCTCACACAGTGAATCCCTTGTAATAACGAGCAGGATAGACTAATGTATCCTCTGGCAATGTAAAATCTGGGGAAAGGGAAAAGAACAAGAGTCAGCATCCAAGCTGTTTATTTTGCATCACAAGCATGATGCACAGTTCTTTAATTTAACATACTTGCATGTGAATGCACTGACTCGTACAGTTGACATTAACTTCCACCATATGAGAACATTAATGAGATCAAGCAGAGATAACCGGTAAAATACAGCACTAATATTTTAGCCGACGAATATTTTGAAAAAAGCTTTTGATGGTGTTTTTCTTATGAAATAAAACTTTACAAAGAAATAAAAGAAATAATAACTACAAACTGGACACTGTCAGCTTGCTAAACCTGGAAATCAGTTCTCCCACATCCACGTATCAGGAAGGCATCCCCAGTAAAAGCCATCCTTGGATGGGGCTGAGCAGGCCCATCGCCTGTAACATTAGTACCACAACCTAATGTATGGCCCGGAGTCTCAGACCTGCCAAAAAAGGTTGCTATTATATATGAAAGTTTGATTAGTGGTGTAAGTACATCATGAACTTGTTTTACCCATTACTCATTTCCTGCCCTATTAGGAGACAGGAGACTAGCAAAAAGCATCAATCGCATCAGGCGGTACCATGGCCTTTGGTGCTTTCTATTTATTATCCATTTTATGTTGTACAAACTCACTTCATATATATTCTTCCCAATCCTATTGAGTTAATAAACCTAAATTATTACTGTTCAACTTTAATAAAAATATATGCATTAATTGTAATTACAGCAAAAAAGGAAAATGATTGAAGAATTAGGGCAGGAACTTGTCAGAGCAAAAGCTTTGGAATTGCTTGCTTTTGAAATGACAGATTTCACACCGGAACCTTAGCCTGATACAAAGTTGATTCAAACACTAAAATAAGAAATTCGAAAAATTGGCAATTGAAAGGCAAAGCATAAATTCACCGACTTATATTGAAGAAAAAGACTTCCCAACCTTAATTAGGCCTGTTCCTGTTACATGGTCGCCAAGAACATGCGTGTCCATGGCATAAACTAGTTTCAATCCTAGCTCTTTAACAAGCGATATGTCCCTTTCCACTGTCTTGTCAACAGGATCAATCAACTGCCAAAATTTTGGAACTTTTTGTTTTGGGTAATTCATTCATAGCACAAAACTTACAGTACTGTGTTGGTTTTGATATTTTGAAAGAAAAATGAGAATGAAAGAATTAACTAACGAAAGCAGGCTTGTGAGGTTGAGATATCGGCGTGCAAAAGCTGGCGAAACAAAAGCCTCCTCTTTGTCCTGGATGAATCGCCGAACGTGGTGTAAGTGTAAGTCTTGGATGCACTGCGGAATTCATGGGTTCGGAATTTGAGCCCCGATTTTGGGAAGGAGAGTGTGGTTTTAGAGTGCGTTTGCGGTCACAAATTCCTTGCATTTAGAGGCGTTGATTTGACGAGACAGAATCTAAGCGCATTCATTCGTACCGCTACCATGTTTTTCTGGAGCTCCTCTCTCTGCGTTCCACACACTAGTTCTACACTTCCACTTCTGTTGCAAGGTCAGAAAAAGAAGACGGCGAAGATCAAACATCTTGATTCTTGGTTCGAGTCTTAGAATACGGGCCTCTTCGAAAAACGGAGCGAGCTCTTGTTGGGCTGGATTTTGCAGATAGCAACGTAGTGGAACGAGCCCACCTCAACTAGCTGGTATTTCATTTTCCTTTTTACTCGAAGGTGGTAATTTGCAATGCAAAACGTTGATTGGGTTCGGCCCCTTTTGAATGAAGAAGAAAGGGAGGGATTTGCTCACAGCTTTCCGCAAAACCTTTCTTACCCTCCAAAACCCTACTCCCCAGGCACTCTCTCTTCCACTTTTGCCACCCAAAATCAATGCATTTTTATCTAAATGCATAATCTGGTTTTTTTATTATTTATGTTTGGATTTTGTAGATAAAGATGGATGCATCATCAGAGCGTTACAGTTACAACCCCGTCTTGCGATGGAATCCTCAGGTGGAAGATTACTTCATCAAAGCATATGGGTCTCTTCATTTTGCTCAAATCTCCGAGGCCTTAACGTATGATTCTTTCTCATCTACAAAAACTCTAATCTTAGCACCTCTTTTTGCTTTTGGCTTCTTTCATTTTAGCTTTCGCTTCTTTTTTAATGGTTTTTCAATGGCAAAAAGCAAATAGTAAAAACAGAGTCCACGGTTTTTCATGCTTTCTTCATACATTCTTGTTCTGCCATTATTGATTTGTTGTTAGGCGTCCATCTTGCTATTCTTGTATTCGAGTGAACACTCTCAAGTCGACAAGTGATGCTGTCATTGAGAAACTTCAGGAAATCATGAAACAGTCGGGGTCTAAAAATGTTGTTGAAGACATCAATACGAAAGAGACTAAAGCAAGTAATATTATTGACTCGGATATGGCTGAGAAGCAATCGAGCTTACAAAATGGGCCCATCTCTAAGTGTCAGATACCAGGTTTAGAGTATGTTGTATTTGTTAAGGGTTCTGGACCACATGCAATTGATTATGGTTATGCACCCGGCAAACCTCCGAAGGAGGTACTTGTTAGCAGGAAATGTGCTGAAGCTGTTCTTCGAGGTGCTCAGGTGTAGCATGTTTCTTCTAATGCATAATTTAAGAGCAGTTCGTTATTCATTTTTATCTGTCACCTAAATTTTTAAGTAATGGGTTTCTTTGTATCATGAAGCCCTGCAATTACTTCTTTATATTAAATTTGAGGTTTATCTTTAATCTGTGAAAGTTATCAACTATTTTTCTTAACGACTCCAGAGAGCTTATCTGTAGGTATATGTTCCTGGTGTAATGGCCTGCAGTTCTCATGTTGAGGAAGGGGATTTAGTTGCAGTTTCAGTTGCTGTGGAGCAGCCTATTTCTGATGGTGGATGGGGACTTGGTATAACCCGTGGGACTGTTCTGCAGGGACTGCAGACAGGTAAGTAGTATTTGTTTTCTTATTTTTAAGTCATCATTCTTTAGTACTAATGCTTTACCATTTTGATCCTTTGGTCTTTAGCGATTAGATGATACTTAGATTTAAGATTCATTTTAACAAAATAAGAATATTGGTGACTTATATTCTGATTTAAGTTTTGTCATGAAAATTTGTAGCCTCTTTTGTTAGAAGGGTTAATTGCCTATTGGAATGGGATTTGTATAAGTCTCAAGTTAACTTGTTTTATGTTCAGTTAAAACTATTCTGTTTTTGATGAAACTCAAAAGAGGGTCAAGATGTTGATGCTACAAAGTTCAGGTGTTGTGGGAAAAGAAAGAGATTTAGGGCTTTAAGACTGGACGCAAGGAATAATTAGTGTGCTAAGTCACAACGAATTATGTATCTATTTTAATTCCATTCTGTTTTTCTTGAATAAAGTGTAATACAGCCTAATCTGAAGTAAAGATTAGAAAAAGGATATTAGGGTAGAAGAACAGAAGGCAAGGTAAAATGAAGAGCCAAGCTCTATTGGCAGCAGCTGTTGACTGGGGCTTCTTATATTTTATAAAAGTGAAATTGAGGCCACTATTGAATTTACTTTTATGGTTTTGATAATCATATTGAACCTAAAGACCAATTAGTGTGATTAAAATTGTTTGTTACCTTACATATCATTTCTTTTATTTATGGTTTGTGTTTGATCATATCTCCTACTACTACAAACTTGCTAAAATTTCTTGGATTGATATGCTATGGTACATTGTAGATCCTTATTACTTTGAACGAAATGGATTATTCATTGGTCAAGGAACAACAATGTTGTCAAGAGCTGGGATCTTTCGTGCTTCTCAAGGAATTGCTGTTGATATGAAAAATCGAGTATTTAACTTGCCTTCATTTCATGGTATAGTTCACCCTTTATCCAAATGTTGTAGAAATGCTGCAATGGACTTATGGAATTTTGGTTTAAGTTCTGGATGATGTTTTCTGAAAGTTTGAATTGCTCTTAGTACTTTTCTTTTGTTTTTCACAGATGTGCTTGAGGGGGAAATATTTCTTCAAAACCTGCCAAGCATTGTTACTGCTCATGCTCTGGGTATCTACCCTCAAATCATTGTTATTTTTCCTAATTTACAAGTACTGTTTCTTATTTAGGATCCTTTATTTTTGAGCTATGCCATACTATGTATTTACATGCTTGTTTCTTTCCTCATTTTTCTCAATTGTTTTAAGCTCTGAAATCTCTTCACTAGAGAACTGTTATGGAGCACTTTGTACATGTTCTAGAACTTGGAAATTAGGCACTGAAGAACATTATGCTGGGTGTTGTTGTGATAATGAAGTGGAATTGAATGAAATCAGTTGAAGTGTTCTTATTTTTGTTGTCACTGAGCGTGCAAAGGTATTCTAGAGGTTTGAATCTCTGACCTTGGCCCTGGAACCAAGGCTTTAACAAGTTAGTCGGTACCAATTCTAGTAGGCTATATTTGGTGAGGAGGCCTTTGTTTTTTTTTTTTTTTGCTACCTTGTCTGTTCCCAGATGATGCAATCTGATTCCTACTCTTGGATTGGAAGAATCAATGCGGAAATTGCTTAACTACCAGCTAAACTTATTTTGTGATTGAACTGGTCACAGTAGGAACATCTTTGTTATAAAACATGATTTTAATTGTTTTGGATCTGAATTGTTTTATTTGGTTGGAGGATTTTTATGGAATTGAATGAAAATCGGTTGAAGAGTTCTTATTTTTGTTGTCACTGAGCGTGCAAAGGTATTCTAGAGGTTTGAATCTCTGACCTTGGCCCTGGAACCAAGGCTTACAAGTTAGTCAGTACCAATTCTAGTAGGCTATATTTGGTGAGGAGGCCTTTGTTTTTTTTTTTTGCTACCTGTCTGTTCCCAGATGATGCAATCTGATTCCTACTCTTGATTGGAAGAATCAATGTGGAAATTGCTTAAACTACCAGCTAAACTTATTTTGTGATTGAAACTGGTCACAGTAGGAACATCTTTTGTTATAAAACATGATTTTAATTGTTTTGGGATCTGAATTGTTTTTATTTGGTTGGAGGATTTTTATGGAATTGAATGAAATCGGTTGAAGTGTTCTTATTTTTGTTGTCACTGAGCGTGCAAAGGTATTCTAGAGGTTTGAATCTCTGACCTTGGCCCTGGAACCAAGGCTTTAACAAGTTAGTCAGTACCAATTCTAGTAGGCTATATTTGGTGAGGAGGCCTTTGTTTTTTTTTTTTTTGCTACCTTGTCTGTTCCCAGATGATGCGATCTGATTCCTACTCTTGGATTGGAAGAATCAATGTGGAAATTGCTTAACTACCAGCTAAACTTATTTTGTGATTGAACTGGTCACAGTAGGAACATCTTTTGTTATAAAACATGATTTTAATTGTTTTGGGATCTGAATTGTTTTTATTTGGTTGGAGGATTTTTATGGAATTGAATGAAATCAGTTGAAGTGTTCTTATTTTTGTTGTCACTGAGTGTGCAAAGGTATTCTAGAGGTTTGAATCTCTGACCTTGGCCCTGGAACCAAGGCTTTAACAAGTTAGTCAGTACCAATTCTAGTAGGCTATATTTGGTGAGGAGGCCTTTGTTTTATTTTTTTTTTTGCTACCTTGTCTGTTCCCAGATGATGCAATCTGATTCCTACTCTTGGATTGGAAGAATCAATGCGGAAATTGCTTAACTACCAGCTAAACTTATTTTGTGATTGAACTGGTCACAGTAGGAACATCTTTTGTTATAAAACATGATTTTAATTGTTTTGGGATCTGAATTGTTTTTATTTGGTTGGAGGATTTTTATGGAATTGAATGAAATCAGTTGAAGTGTTCTTATTTTTGTTGTCACTGAGTGTGCAAAGGTATTCTAGAGGTTTGAATCTCTGACCTTGGCCCTGGAACCAAGCCTTTAACAAGTTAGTCAGTACCAATTCTAGTAGGCTATATTTGGTGAGGCCTTTGTTTTTTTTTTTGCTACCTTGTCTGTTCCCAGATAATGCAATCTGATTCCTACTCTTGGATTGGAAGAATCAATGCGGAAATTGCTTAACTACCAGCTAAACTTATTTTGTGCTTGAACTGGTCACAGTAGGAACATCTTTTGTTATAAGACATGATTTTAATTGTTTTGGGATCTGACTTGTTTTTATTTGGTTGGAGGATTTTTATTTTATTCATTTTTTATATCAAGCGTCAATAATTTTTTATTCTTGATTAAATTTGGCGTATACTGAGATCACGTATGATTTATTTTTAATAATCTAAGGCTGCTGAAGCTTTTAGTCAGAAGAGGCAGTGATTACTCATCGGAAAGATTGAATTTTCAAGATTGTTACCAATGCTAGTCAACATGCAATTAGATTTAGTAGTCCAATATTTTGAAATTATTATTAATGATGCTAAGAAAAAAAAAAGTTCACTATCCTCCCAAAATACGAATGCTTTGCTTTTATCATAGGTCACCACGGAGGTGCAATTTTTCTGACTGGAAAAGCAAAAGTTTATGCTTTTTGGATGGACAAGAGAGGACTCTTAATAACAGATGCACTAAAGATGGCTGACTTGTTGGGTTGTAGGTTTCGAATGAGGAGTTCATGACATTGCCTAAATTTTATATTCCTTGGAAAATAGAAGATCTGTCTCTTTTTATCTCTCTTTCTGTCCTTCAGAAAGATTGTGTTTTTTCTTTTGTCTTAATTATTCTTTAGCTTGGAGTTTCTGTGCATATATGCTTTGAATTGTGAAATCTTTGCATGACTTGGTCATTGTGTTTGTGCACTTTTTTTTTTTTTTTGTAGATCCTCAGAAAGGTGAGCGGGTACTAGACATGTGTGCAGCTCCAGGAGGGAAGACAACAGCAATTGCTATGCTTATGAAGGGTGAAGGGGAGGTTATTGCTGCAGATAGATCTCATAATAAGGTGCAAACTTTAAGCTAAATGAATTAGTAGGTTATCATTTACTTTTTTACATGTGGCTTGTGTATTTTCCAGGTTTACTTAATTAATTGGCTGTTGATATAGTAAACAAATGTCTGAGGCTGTTTTCCCGCAAAAAAAATGTTGCAGAAATTTTATACTTTTGTTGGGTTTCATCAATGTTTGCCTTGCAGGAGGTCACTGATCAACTCATCTGACATTTGACTTTCAGTCCCCTTGAGAAAACTTCATGAACATCTATAGTGGGGGTCCTTTGAATGGTCATTATCAATTAATTTTACTTAAACACATGATATAGTTGCCAAGTTTCCATATTCGTAATAATTAACTAGTCTCATATGATAATATTTGGCTTCAGACTACAAATTACACTACGTTTATTTCTTGTTAGGTGATTGCTATGAAAATTTTACTTCTTTATTTACTGTTGGGATGATGTCTATTATATTTGAATCTGGAATCTGTAGTTTCTTTATTTTGAGGACTCCAATTTCCTTACTAATAGGTGATGGATATTCAGAAATTGGCTGCTGAGATGGGTTTGACTTGTATAACAGCATATAAACTAGATGCACTCAAAGCTGTTTGTAAAAGAAATGGGTCAAGTGATATGACCACTTTGTGCTATAACAAGGATAACAATGATGTGATTCAAAGATCTGAGTTGAGGTCTCTTGAGAATGGAGGGTCATCTACTACCATTGTAGGATCAAACGTTGATACAGCTTGCAAGGAGAATGGTAGGTAAATTCTGTCAATTGGTCATGAGCAGATGTTTGTGTTTTTTTTTTTGTGTGGCTGGGGGGGAAAGGGGGAAATGTGTAATTTCCAAAAGTAATCTTCAAAGAATAGAACATTCTTGAGATAATCAGATTCATATAACGACTGTCAAGCTCAATTTAAGTCTGTGGATCTAGCATTAGTTATCCAGGTTAAGACTTTTTATTATACTCATATATAGATCTATCTAAAGACAGACCAAGCCTTGTTGTTTGTGCATGAGAGACTCTGAGATAATGACAACTGCTGAAGTGGCTTTACGCTTTTCAGTGTCCTAGCTTTGTTATATCCTTCATGAGGAAATTGTCTCTTCTTTGCATGTGACCCAGGAAAAAGCTGGACCACTTTTTTGATTATCTTATGTGGTTATTGCTTTCTTTTCTGTTTGATTCTCAATAATCATGGTCTCAGATTTTTCTGTTCAGCATGTCAATCATTACACCACTTTTGCTGATATTCTGATTTGCTGTAAATTTAATGTTTTAGATCTAGAAATGAAGTTTGTGGCAATAATTCCTATAGTCTATTATCAATAGTTTTAAGTTTTGCTGAAAGATGGCTAATGTGCCTACTTGCTCAAGGATATATGACTCTGGTAAAATTATAAGTTCAAGTTTTCTACAGTAAACAAATAATGAATTTTCAACGTAAGACTTCTTGCATCAATGTGGAACGTGAATGCTATGTTTGCTTTAATGTGCATTGTGTGCTTACATTTAGGCTTAACTGGAATTGTTCGAAAAGATAATGAAATCAAATATGCAAGACTTCTCTCTTGCTAAGAATTATAAACTAGAGTTTTTTTTTTTTTTTTTTTATCATTTAATCTCTTGAATTTGATTTCTGATTATGTCATACTTCCTCTACCATTTTCATTTTGCATGCGTAAGCTGCCTATAGTTAAATATTTGTCTCTGATTCTCAATATTTTAGTTAGCAATGAAAAGCCGAATGAGAGAACTTACGTTAGCAAAGCTGACATCAGGAAGAACATGCGAAGGATGAGGAATGGCCCAGGAAGAAATCAAAGCCTGGGTGGTAGAGTTGAGAATTCAAAAGGCTTCCTTCCTAACAGCTTTGATCGTGTCCTTCTTGATGCTCCTTGTTCTGCTCTTGGTTTGAGACCTCGGCTATTTGGTGGAGAGGTAGGACAATTCCGTATATGCTGGTTACAAATTGATGCTTGTTATTGTTCCTGGTTATCTGGTGCATTCTAGCTTCTGTCCATTCACATGCATAGTATCAATAGAATGATGAAAATCTATGTCCTTAACTCAAGAAATGATTTATCCTCTCTTAGATGCCTGGACTATTGAGAAGACAGCTTTTGCAAAAAATAAATAAATAAACAAATCAAATAAAACACAACATGAAATGTATGTTTTGTATATGTGTACACTTGTTCCATTTAGGGGATTGATTTATGTGAACTATGCTGGTATTTGCATGTTTTTACTTGTGAGTTGGTAGGTGCTTAGCTGTAAGAATTTTCTTCCTTTTTCTTCCATCTCTTCTGTTTTTCAGTAATGGAGCCTGTCATTTTACATTTTGCTTATTTACCTTTTAACCTTTAAAGCAGATTGCTAAAATATTCATCATGGTTTGCTTAGTTTTAATCCAAGATATTCATACATTAGGTGAACTTTACTCCAATTTACTTCCTTCCAGAATATCATGAGTAAACGTTAGCTTCTGCTTTTTCATAGATTAAAGTATGGTTTTCACATGTTTCATCCTTCTACAAGGATTTTGGCTTCTGATTTGTTGTTGCTACATGTTGCCTTAGTTTGTATTTTCATTTATTTATTTGTTGGGGTGGGAGGGTGGTTTGAGGATAAGTAAAACATACATGCACCATTTAGGTGAGATTTGCAAGTCCAGAAAGAGATGATGATAGCAGATAATGCAATAAAGTGTTATCCACAAGAGAAACTTGTTTTCTCAGTTTTGATCATATAAAAGTTAAATAATTTGCATTAGTTTTAGTTTTTCTATTTAATGTTTTTCATTTAATTTGATTTAATAAAAAGAACTGAAAAACGTTTTACTGAATCAGATCAAATTGGTGTGTCTGTTTGCTTCTTTTATTTTTTGGTATACAGGAAACAATAGAGACATTAAGAAACCACGGGAAATATCAAAGGAGAATGTTTGATCAGGCTGTTCAGTTAGTTCACCCTGGTGGAGTCCTTGTGTACTCAACGTTAGTTTGCTTTCTTATTGCAATTTTATATTTATTTGTATAAATTATTAATCCATACTGTTCTTATAAATTCTAAATGTATTATGTGCCACATGATACATTTCTGATTGGCTATGTGTTTCTATACATACAAATACATGCGTCAAAGAAATTTTCGGAATACTGACAATATTAGTAGTGAGCTTAAATTTCTGAAGTAATTAAATTTTCTTTACTGAATCCTTATCTAGGATATGGATAGCCTAGTTGAGCAGTAACTTCTAGGGTTAGGTGCTTTTATTGAGATCTGTACCTTTTGCTTCTAGTGCGCTCTTGTTGTTTGGTGTATATGCACACAAACTGCTAGGTTCAGAGTGTTTTTAAGTTTTATTTCTTCATTCTTTTTTAAGAAAAAAATCTCAAGTTGCAATCTTAAAAAAAGAGTGATTCATGTCTTTTAACAGGAATTAGGAAAGGGTAATATATCCATTCAAAACTTTTTGTTGCAGATAAAAATGTAAGAAATTTTGAACTAGGGTTTGATGTGGACTTCAGTTAATTATGATATTGATTCCCTTTAGAAATCCTAGTGCCTTTATGTGCTTTGTGCCTTTGATCACTATGATCTAGGATCTAAATGGTATAACTAGGGTTATTAAGCCTAATTACTATTACATTTTGCTTATTTTTGTTGTATAAGTAATGATAAAGATTAAACTGATTTTTGATGTTTTTCCTTTCTTGATTCTTTCATATTGTTAGATGTACAATTAATCCTGGTGAGAATGAAGCATTGGTCCGATATGCTTTGGATACATATAAGTTCCTCTCTTTAGCACCACAGGTTAGATGCTTTAAATTTAAACTTACAAACATACAAACTGATGTACACATTAAAATTTACGTTTTTCTTTTTCATTGATTTTATTATTTTTAAGCTGGGAAAACTCCAGAGATGCTTGACTCACATTTCAATGGTGTTTATAGGGTTACCCTTGCATTACAACAATCATGTTATTAAAAAATTTGGTATCAATCAGTGTTTACTTTTTTTTTTGTGGGATGGGCAGTTTATAATGAAAATGGAAATAATCTGATTGATTAAAGCACTGAATTAATTTAGCTCTCTTATGATACTTTCTAGCATCCAAGAATTGGAGGACCTGGTCTTGTTGGTAGTTGTGAATTTCCAGATGGATATATTGAGTAAGTATTTCAATCCAATCGCTTGCCTCTTTGTACCCCTCTTCAACAAGTGAACTGATATGATTGTCCATATGTAAAGTCCTTTATAAGTGGATGCCATGTGGAAATTGGATCATTGATCTGAGTGCTTCTGCTGAATTGTCTGAATTTCTTGTTACAGTTTTTTTTCATAATATTTGCTTATTCATTTAAGCTTTGTTTGTGGAAGATACTCTTGGCTGAATTTGATCTTAGACTTGCATCATTTTAACTAACTTTATTGTTGTTGCTGGTGGTCTCTTGAATAATCTGTTTCCCGGATGATACTTAAAGTTTCTGAATCCATTATTTTGATTTTCCATTCATTTCCTACATAAGACACAGATAGGCAGCTCAATTTTCTTGTGGCCGACTGTTTGATTAAGGATGAAGATTAGAGGGTAGAATGAAGATCAGGAACATATCAAAGATGGTTGGGGTATAGAAGTCCATCTTGTTGTGGTTGGGTGTAGAAATTTACCTACCCAACCGTTCATTGTTACTGAATTCAGAATAGGAGGGTGTAGTTGATACTCTTTCCTGTTTGTTTTGCAGCTTAATGTAGTGTCTTATGTTGTATCATCTTTTTTGTTCTTTGGTGATTGATCCTTTTGACCATTGTTGATTGTCCTTATTCTAACCAACAATTACTTGGTGATGGTGACTTACACAGAGAGTGGTTAAGACCTGGAGAGGAGGAATTGGTTCAGAGGTTTGATCCCTCATCTCCACTCGATACGATTGGGTTTTTCATTGCCAAGTTTGTTGTAGGCTCGAAAGATACTTGAGTTGCAAGTTGGATCTAAGGTGTTCGACCAGTGAACAAATTTGTGCAGTGGTCTTTTGGTGTTATAGGATTTTCCTCTGCAGAGAGAATTACTAAGAGAATAAAGGCAGGCATGGTCAGGGAATCAAGAAGAGCTATTTGTTGTAGTATAATATGAATTATATTTATGGTTAACTCAAATAATTGTATCAGTTCTGTTTGCTGCATAGAAATTTGTACGATTAATTATTTTCATGAAGAAAACTATAAGATCCAGTTGGAAATTCTGACATTTTGGTAAGCGGATTTGGTGACACTCAAGCACAAAGGAAAGAGGTGGTTTGTTGACCATTGGCTTAATTGAAGCAGATTTTGCTGCCCCCAATTGCAGGGGCTTTCTTATTCCTTTCCAGAAGCACTGTGTCTCCTATTAGTCGTGCTTAAAGCTTAGTTTTGATGACGGCACTAGGTTTTTGATCCTTGAGGTAATTGATAATCGGAACTAAGAAAGCAGTATTTTATCAATAAATCACGTGGCCGTAGACAAACAGCTTTAGTTGTCTCTTATGAATTATGGAGTTGACATTTGTTTAAATGGTAGTTTTGCCTATACATGACTTCTATCCAAATCAATCATTGAATGAAACATAGGTACGTGGTTTGTCTTGCTTATGCATTATTCTTGAGATCAAGTTAGGTTTATGAAAGTTAGGTGGATAATTGTGGTACTTTTTATGTTAGGGGTTTAGTTTTTTTTTTTAAATTATTTTTTTTTGTTTTTTTTCTTTATTTACTCTAACCAAAATGAACTTCAAATTTTTTGGGCTAATATAATTTTAATTTTTTGTATTTGTAAAAAATTTTTAAAATTTTCTTACGGGAATTTAAAATAGTTATTTTTAAAATTTAATAAACATAAAAAATTATAAATTTATATCTAAGAAAATATGAATATTCGTACATCAACGAATTCGATTAATTTTTGTTACTTTTTTTATCAAATGTATTTATTTGCTTTCAAAAGTGAAAAACCAAAGGACAAAGTACAAATCATGTTAATTCAATCAATAATCGAATCACTCTCCCTCCATTTCCAACTACAAGGCCTGGTTACGATTAACTCATTTGCAAGAAGAAAAGTAAGAATTTGAAAACTTTTTGGGAGGCCAGAGCCATAGGTGTTAAATAAATTCCGCCCCTATTTGCATGGAATATTTCAATTCCAATAATCGTAGTATAATTAGATTTAGAGTTATATGAAATGTATTAAAATTTTGTATGAACTTCATATTTATAAATGTGAATTTCTATATAACTTTTATTGTGATTAAAAAATTATAAGATTGTAGTAAAAACATTGTAAGTGATGTATTTGCTGTATTTCATTTTTGCCAATTTCATCAAGAAAAGAACAAAGATCCATCCACGTCCCCAATCAATCTGATGTTTAAAATGCAATTCTACCATAAGGCTACATGATAATTCATTTATTCATGTTCATTTATTTTTTATTAAACAAATATAAAATATAAAAATTATTATATTATGGTTTGTGTCGACACGCAAAGCAAAAAATATATTTTTTTTTAATTTTTGTTTTTGTTAATCTTTTATATTATTTGTGTTAAAATTTTAATCTATCACTTTTGTGTGTTTTTTAATATCATTTTTAACATATCACCATAAAAGTTTGAAATTTTCATATCTAATAATCCTTGCTAGCTCCCATCGTCGTCACAAATGAAAATTTTGCTTTATAATTGAAGATATACTTCCACTCCAACTCGGTCAAGTAAGCCTAATATAGGAATTATTTTCATATAATGTCTTCAACCTATTGCATGGACATTCTTGAATGTGTGTGGAAATGAGTCTATTCCAATTCACTTATGAAGATGAAAAGCTACAAAAACATTACATTTGATCAAGCACGCATTTTGCCACTTGCCAGGCACCCTTTCCATCAAGTGCAATTGCCTATTATATACATTGAAACGTACTAGCAACTTCCTTGAGAGTGACCACGCCTACATGTACATGCACTTGAGCATACTGTTCAATAGGAAGGTGTCGCTTTCATTTTAACCAATTAAAGAACCATTTATAACAAGGCTGGAGGCTATTCTTGAATACCAACACACTTGCATACGGGTTCTAAAGACAAAATACTTCCCAAATACGTCGATCCTAGAATGTAGGCTAGGTAACAATCCTTCACTGACGTGGAAAAGTTTATGGAGTTCGTTGGCCATTATTAAACAAGGGATGCGGTGGAGACTTGGCAATGGACAGTCCATTCGAATATGGAAGGATAAATGGCTGCCTTTTACCCCAACATTCATGCCACAGTCACCAAGAGCTTGGGAGCTGGAATGAGGATGGCTTGGTAAAAGAACTAATGGATGAAAGTACATTGCAGTGGAAAGTGGATCTGCTCTATGACATGTTTTCAGAGGATGCGGCAGCAATTAGCTTGTTACCAGTGAGCAAGTCAGGCCTGGAGGACACACCGGTTTGGCATTATGACAAAACGGAGTTTATACTGTGAGGAGTGGATACAAACTTCTATGTGAGAATGGACGCTCAAGAACGGTGCAAAACGTAGAGAACAATCAGAGTTGTTGGCGAAAATTTTGGACAGCTGATTTACCAAACAAAATTCGAGTTTTTCTGTGCAGGTGGTTAAGGTACAAAGAACAACTCCTGCATTTGGCTATAACTTGCTACGCAATATGGACGGACAGAAACAAAGAATTGCATGGGGAGGTAAGAAGGCAGTCACCAAATGTAGCAAATTTCGTACGGCAGTATCTGTGGGAGTATAACCAAGTGCAGATATATTTGGAGAAAGCACATGAGATTCACCAGCAAACGCGGGAACCACTTGCCATTGGCCTCTACAATTTGAACTTTGATGGAGCTTTAAATAGAAAGGAGAACAAGGGGGAAATAGGAATAATTATTCGAAGTTCAGAAGGTGATGTCGTGGGAACCTGTGCTGCTAGCATGGAAAGGGCCGAATGACTCGTTTATAGCGGAGGCAAACGCATCTGTGAGAGCTCTAGAATTTGCTGCCGTGATGGGGTTTCAGCGAATCATTGTAGAGGGAGATGCTTTGAGTATTCTCAAGAAGTTAAAGACATGCGAACCAGATTTTTCACCTACAGGACAAATTATGGCAGAGGCAAGAGCAACATCTCGCCGGTTTTCTGATTGCTCAATCATGCATATAAACCGATCTGGGAATGGAGCAACATACAAGCTAGCAAAGTTTGTTCTTGGGATTAATGGGGAACGGCATTGGGTAGAAGAGGTCTTTGACTTTCTTTGTAATGCTGAAACTGATACATTTTGTTATAATTAAATGAGCAGAATCTCTTCCTTTAAAAAAAAAACAAATTATCACAATGTGAGAAAGCATCTACATAGATGGAAAGTATGAAATTAGAAAACTGGTATAAGAATCAGGAGCAAATATGGTACGAAACCAATCAATTCGTAGAACCAATGTTTCAAACTTTTTATGAATATAATCATATCAAAGGGTTGTTCAAATTAACAACTTATATAATTATTTTCATTTCACCACCAAATCGTTGTAAATGTAGTTATATGCCCAATTAGAACTGATTAATAATTTTTAATAAATTCACAAACAACTCGTCTAATTGACAATTATCATGATTGTGATATGCTGATAATGTATGAATATCAAATATAAACTCATTAAACAAATACCTATAGTTTGTTTAAATTTTCAACTCTCAATAGAAAATTTGGATAAACTAAATTCATATTTGATGCATAAATAATAGATAGAATATGATAAAATGATAATCATCTTCCATTATATTTAGTTTGTATCTAAAAAAAATATAAAATTATAAAAATGATTAATCGTTTTCTTGATATAAAATGATTTAATCTTTTTAAACTGAAAGTAATTATTTTTAATCTATAAAATTAAATATACATATCTTATTATATTTTAAAAAATTATATTAATAATTTAAATTGTATAAATTAAAAAATAATAATTTTGATTAATAAATAATAAAATAAATAAGATTATCTTATTTAATCTTTACATATATAAATATAAAATAAAATAATATTATTTAATATAATTTTATTTATAACATTATTTTATTTTATTCTATTATAATTTTGTACTCCAATAATAGAATAATGTTAAACTAGATTCAACCCATTATTTAGTACATGGCAAAGGGGAAAAGTACAGAGGTGTCGTTTGCTTGAGCTGCGGAAGATTAAGCATTAGTTGGTTTAAGCTTCGAGTGACTTTTCATATTCCTCGACAGATTTGAAAAGCTCTGCGAAGTTGCCTTTGCCAAACCCTCCACATCCGCCTTTTTGGTACATATTTCCATGCTCATCCTTGACCATACAGCCAAATCTCTGAATTATCTCTATGAATACGGTGGGCCTGCCAAAAACATCAACGAATCATATTAAACGATTAGACAAAACGTTTTGATTTATTATTATGATGCTTTTAATCAAACAATTATATGCTGATCCCTAAAAACATGTTTAACAAAATAAAATTCTTTCATGCTTGTTTTATTTATTATTTTTTCTTTTGTCAAATATAAATCTCACATACATTAAAATAATGACAAAATTAAAAATTTATATTTAAATGATCATTAGTACATCATAAATTGTCATATTATTATTAAAAAATTTAAAAATCTAAAACCTTTTAAAATAAGTCTTTTAAATTTTAAATATTTATTATGTTAAAATAAATTAATAATATAATAATTTATGATGCTGTATGATAACTATTTACTGACATTGAATCATTTTAATCTTTTTTAAGTAATCAGCAATTAATAAAAAATAAAACTGCTAATAGTATAATTTGTTGATAAAGTATTTCTACTCTTATTAAGAGTTCAATTTGAGCAACCTAAAATATATATAAAAAAAATATCTATCTCCAAATGGCTTGGAGAAAATCTGGAGCAGAGTACCCCGATCATCTCTGTCAACCATTATACCCAAATCTTCACACTCCTTGATCTGCTCATCGCTTAATACATCACCAGCTCTCTTCTTTAAATTTTGTAGTATGTTGGCTGTGGTGGCGGCATGAACTCCAAGCCTCCAATGTCACTTCTCTTCTTCATCTCTTGCAGGGTTTTGAAAATATCCTCACTCACCAATGCCAGAGGTTGCACCCCTTCCCCATCGTTATGCTCCAAAAACGTCTGTATTTGGCTCCTTCTCTTCATCCCAAACACCGGCTCGCAAATCACAATCAGCACCATCTCATTATTGTTTGCTAGCATCAAAGAGTTTAGTCCACTCTCTGCTGTTCCCACTTCTTCTGCTGTAAACTCTGCTAACTCATGAAACCCGGTAAACTCTTTCAAATAAGACACTGCTGGACCGAGTTCCGGCACCGCTCCCACCAAATGATCAAGCCGACGAATCCCATAGTCCAAAGGATATGACAAAGTATCTTCCATCTTTTCAAACCTTGGCAAGAACCAGGAACAAGTTTCACTATCATTAGGACTCTCGTTAGAGTTCTTATAACTAATGTACCTCAAAACAACGTCATCGACGAAAAAGACTTCAGCGAGAACAGTGATTGTCGAGGAGCATTGGATAGGATGAAGGCTTGGCACCATGGGCGACGGTAACGAAGAATGCAGCCTCAGCGTCTTCAACTTCCAC